GGCACCTAGAAAGCCCCGTTGAGTTGGAGCAACGCAAGCAGGGAAAGCCACGCACAGGGTCATGCGTGGCTGGTAGGGACTTGTAGCCCGGCTGAGGGCACTGCCTACCCTTTTCCCACTCTCTCTGTTATATTTCCATGACACCCCCCTGTTCCAAAGCTGATGTAATCTGGGGAGCACCAGCCCTCACCGCACCCCTCTAAGCTTTGGGTGGACCAAAATTTGCTCTTTACGAGTAAGACACCATGGGGCTGACTGGCCCGTCATGACGCGGGAGGTCTCTGTCTGTGTCTAGCCTCTTGGGCAGGTTTGGCTTCGTAAAGCAGAATCACACCTAGAAGTATTTAAAGTCACTGAGGCTCTGCACTAATGAGAGTCTTGGACGAGGCTGTCCGGTAATGAGCCGCCCCCGGGCAAATTCCCTGGGAAATGCCGCTGGAGTGGGAGCAGGAGCTGCCTGCGCTGCCAGCACCGCTCACCGGAGACAAACGGCCACATGCCGGCTCGTGTCTTCCTTCTTTTAGATATATGTGACATTGTCATGGTCTTTGCAGGCTGGGAAGGGAAGACCTCCAGTACACGCAGCAGCCCTCACCCGCGTCTCTGGTGACTTGTCTGTCACAGCTTGTGTTTGTTGTGTTATCAGAAGAAAATAGATGTTCTTGCTCCCAGCTAAAGAAACAAAAGATCACGCATACGTGACTTTTCGCTGATAAATGTTTGCAACGTTTAACAGCAGATAGGCTTTTTAACGTCTCAGGCAGACAGTAATTTGTTTGACAGTTGTTAGACATTTCAGTGTTCTGCAGTAGCGTGTGCGACACCCCCGTGGGTTTAGACACGTCTAATACAGAAGTATAGCCACAAGCATTTATAAAAATCTAAAATTACCTCTTGGTTTACAAAAAGACTAGTCAAAGGCACGCACTTCCAAAACAGAGCTCTCTGGAAACCCAATGTACTGTACAAGTTGTACCAAGGCTACAGCCCAGATTTTTTTACTGTGGGGTAAAGGGGACATGGCCCTTTCTGACAGTGCGGAGCCCCAGGCAAGGCAATGGTTCAGCCTTCAAAACCTTCAGAAATGGGGGTTCCCTTCACACCCCAGGCTGCCCCATGGCTGGGACGTGGAGTGCTGGGCAATTCAAGGTGGGAGACAAAGAGGAGCAACGGCGTGGGTCTGTTTAAAAATGTCACTTGGACCCACTTCACGGCTTGAAGTGGGCAGAGATCCCTTCCAGAGGTGCTTGGCATGGCTCTAGTTTTCAGGAAAGATTTATGGACCCACAATAGACTCTACACGAAATCTTAAAATATTTTGAATCATGTTGATGAAATCCATCCGGTTTTGTGTGAATTTGAAGTCCTTGTTTTCCCCAGAACAAATGCCCCAGATGCATCCATAGATCCCGGGGCAGGCTTGCGGGACCCCTGGCCGGTCAGAGATGCCCAGGCAGGGATTCAGGCACTGCACGCTCTTTGTGTCTTGCTCAGCCATTTCCAGTCTAATGGAAAACTTCCTCAGGTCCAGGCACAACCTGGCTGTGGGATAACACCACTGGTGTGGAGGTGCCAGCCTGGCTGGAGGGGACCGCATCCACAGGATGCTGCCCGCTGGGGCATTGCGAGTCCCCACCAGTCACCCCTAAATCCCATCCATTCCCGCATCACGCCGCAGTGCTTGCTGACAGGATGGTTAATGGGGCAGGGGGGCAGTGAGTGAGGCAAAGTGCTTTTAATTATAGCATGCACCATTAGCCATTAATAGCCTGGCAGTTGGAGAAAATCCTGAGCGACAAGCTGAGTCCCCCCCCGAGCCGTGTTCCCCCGGTGCCTGATGGCTGCCACTTCCCAGGGCTGTGATCAAAGCAGGCTATGGAAACATTTAGCTGGATCTGAAGCATGCTTCTGCCATGGATAATTGCAGGATATTAATGAACAGGGCCCTGGAGCTGGCTATCTTTGATGGCTCTGATGGAACGGGCTCAGCAAAAGGAGAGCCAGAGTTGCCAAGCCAGCTTTGCACCTGGGGACGGCTGGGGAGGAGGGATGGGGGGCCAGTTTGTTGGGGTTCTCCATTTTCATGCACTCCTCAGCAGAACTGCCTCTGCCCAGATCTTCTGGCTCCAAGGCGGTGTTTTGCCAGCTAACAGTGCTCCAAAAGCAGGGCTTTGGGTCCCTCTTTTCCCCCGGGGCACGCTCCTGCTTCCTTAGTGCTCCCCGGCACCCTGTCAGCTCACACTTGCTCCGGTCAGAGCGTGGGCACTGGTGGGGCGATGCTGGTCCTCGGCAGCGGCACAGGCACCCTTCAGCCCCCCATCCCCGCTCTGCCCCAAAAGTCACCAGGGCTGGGCACAGAGCAGGATGTGGCTCCAGGAGCTCAGTGCCCCAAAGGTGACGGCGCAGCATCTGCAAGGGGTCCAGGGGTGGGAGGTGCTGCTCCAGCGCTGAGCACCTTCTCTTCCTTGGGCAGAGCCTCCTCTGATCCACTCCTGGCGGGATGGGCACGCGTGTCCCTTGGGGCAGTTTCCCTGCGGGAACCTCTCCATCTGCCTGCCCCAGGCCCTGCACTGCAACGGGGTGGACGACTGCGGCAACGGCGCTGATGAGGAGAACTGCGGTAAGTGGCCAACCCCTCGCAAAGAGGGATGCCCTCAGAGTCAGTAACCCCCAGACTGGGGGGTGCCAGGATCTGGGACCACGAGTGCATCAGAGCACAGCTTGCTCATCCCCTGGGAGCAACCACAGCATGAGAAATCCTGGATCTGCTTCAGTACCCAGCTACGTCCCCGGCTCTTGCCTTTGCACGCCATCCGGCACAATGCTCGTGCATGGCCCCAGGGAGGAGTTCATCCATCAGGGATTCCTCCAGGCTGGGGTGCAGGAAAACCCGTGTTGCTACAAGGCTGGGGCGGTTATTTCTGGGTCGCAGTGGAAAGGCGGAGGAGCAGAGGGGTTCTGCACTGTCAGTTGGGAGATGCGAGTCCGGCAGATTTAAAGACACAAGATGAGCTCCTTTGTTCGCTCAATACATGGTGGCATTGCGGAGGGCTTTGCTCAGGGTTGCTGCGTCCGAGAGTGTAAATGAGTCAGAGACCAGACAAGTTCATACCTTCTGGGAGCTGATTAACTGAGTGGCTTGGATGCAGTGTCTGGCTCAGGTTATCCTTAAAGCGGGCTAGGTGGGCTGCTAGAAATAGAGGAAAGAAAATTTTATTGTGACTGTGCTTGGAGACATGCCACGGGGCTGGATGAATCTCTGTGCTGCCCTGGTATAGCTGTGGGGCTGGAACTACATCTCAGGCTTCGTGCTATCCAGCACCCTCTCCCACGGCTGCTGGGGTTTTGCTCGGCACCGGTGTCGGTGCGCAGCAGCCGGTACATGTAACGGTGGTCCACGCTCTCCATCCGCACTGGATGACAAAGGCCGGCAGCCACTGGCGGCGAGGAGCAGCAGGATGGCGGTGGAAGACGAGGGTGATGCCTGCCGTAAGCTGTCCTCCCTGGGGTCGGGCATCCTTCCCCACCCCACGGGTTGCCCCCATCCCACACGGGCCCCCTGCGCCCTCCCTTCAGCGCATCCCCTCTGCTTGCCCGCAGGGCTGGAGCTCTTCCCCGAGCGCTGCCGGTGCTGGGGAAGGGCTATAGACTGCACCGAGCGGGACCTCGCCGCTGTCCCCTGGGTCTCCTCCAACGTGACCAGGATGTGAGTAGCAGTGGGTGCACGGATCCCTCTCCCCTGGGAGAGGCAGGAACGGGGCATGTGCTGCCAGCCAGCAGGAAAACAAGCTTAAAGGGAAGGAAGTAAAATCTCTGGTTTTTACTTCTTGTCTCTGGATCCGAAGAACCAAAAAGCCCTTTCTGTGCCAACAGACCCCTCTCTGCTGAGCATCAGCTGCTCGCTGCAACCCTCCCAGCACAGCACTGAGCTGGGAGCAGGGAATGGCCAGATCCTGCCCGGGGTGAGGGCTGGGGAGCCTGCCTTCGCTGCCAAGCCTCCCACCGAGATGCACGGGGTCAGAGTCTGGCGGCAGGGTTGAGTCCTGGGGTGGGGGGGCCTCTGCCCACACAAAGCAAGGGCTAGGAAGGGAGGAGAGTGTGGAAAAACTCATCTGTAGCAAATAATGCTTGCAGATTGGGAGGGCAATTAGCAATGTGGCATTAATGAAGAGCAGCTGCCTTGCATTTTGTTTGTATTGCATAAGAAGAGGAGGGCTAGTCTTCACTGTTCTCCTTTGATAAAGGCCTCTACCTCTGTCCTAGTTTACTGGCCATAGGTTTGACTTTTTTTTTTTTTTTCTCCCCTTCTGTTTTCCTGCTAGGGACCTGAAGAAAAATAAAATCCGTTTTCTGCTGGACAATCAGTTTGCCAGGTACAGGAGTCTGAAGAAGCTGTGAGTATCACCTTCTTTATCCTGCTCTCTGCCTTGTTTGTGATAAAAGGGGAGAGCAGTGGATGTGCAGGTCAGCAGTGGTGGGGCCACGTGTGGAGGAACAAGTGTGTGTGTTTGTCAGGATGGCTTTGCCTGGGACAACGCACTCTGATGGGGGATGATGTTTGTTCAGGCAGTAGCTTTTTTCAGCTCCTGGAGCCCGTGGTGCCCACTGAAGTCAGCAGACGCCTGCTATGGGCATTGCAAGCTCCTGCCATGCTGCTCCCTCCATGCCGCTCCCCACGGGTGGGCAGGCAGTCGTGGAGCAGTGCCCGTGTTGGCCGATAATGGCATGAGATGCCTCATGAGCGAACTGCCCTGCTCCAGAGAGCTCGGACCTTTTTGTCGCTCAGCCCATCACCTTTCTAGGCTGCCGCACCAGGGAGCTCAGGGAGGGACCCAGCGGAGCGGGGGAGAGGGGTGTTTGCCCTCATGGGAGGGATGGCGGATTCGTAGGGCAATGACCATGTGAAGCAGCTCACGGTAGCCACTTGTGACCGTTGGGCATCTGTACTTTCGACTTCCTTCCCTTTGCATGGAGTTAATGAGGCAGAGAGGGAAAACGGCCTCTCCAGGGTTACTTGAGACAAGGAGCCTGCGGCGGAGCAGGGGCTGCAGCCTGGACCCCTGTCCCCGAGCGCTGCTGGGGACAGCTGGTCTGAGGATGCCGAGCAAGCCCTGTGAGCCCTGCGGCTGGTGTCCTGCAGACATGGGCATGTCCCACAGACCCTGAGAAGCCCTTAGAAAATGTACTTCTTCTTCAGTCCCTTTTCTCTTCTGTTTTTTTAAATAGGTTTTTGCAAAACAACAAGATCCGGTTGATCTTACCCAAAACCTTTGCTGGACTTTCTCAGCTTAAAATGTTGTGAGTAAAGGTGTCTGCGTTATGGGGCCTTGGGCAGGGAGCCCTGGGACGGACACAGTCCTCTGCTCCTGTTGGAGCGGGGCCGCCTCGAGGTCAGGTTCTGAGCCCTTCTTCTTGCTCCTCCAAGAGTCTGTGTCAAGCATGCTTTAAGCTACGGTTGCACATATTTTGGGTGAACGTGGGGTGGAGCAGAGGCATTTCCCCTCCTACAAACACGGCTGTTCCCATCCCCGTGTTTTCTTGCCTGAGCTGAAATCCTGCATTTGTGCACTAAGGGAGATGGTGCCACGGGCACCCAAAGCCAGGGGCCATGGGCAGCTCGGGAAGAACAGCTTTAGCAAACTCTGGTTTAACCGGCAGCAGCGTCTGAGGATCGCTCTCCTCTGAACTTATTCCAGGTTTCTCAGCCACAACAGGATCACGCAGCTGAAGCCCCGAGTTTTTAAGGATCTGCATCGCCTTGAGTGGCTGTGAGTTCCTCTGCCAGTCATGGAAGATGTGCCTGATCCGGACTCTTCCTCACATTTACCTTAATTTCATTTCCTTGGGCGAGGGGAAAGTGGGCATGATGGTTTCAGGGTGTCTGTGGTAATGTAGCGATGGGCAAGATGCCCAGTTGGGTGTTCACGTCCCCATCTTTCCCACCAGCCCCGGGGACCAGGGCACAATCGGCCTCTGCTGCGGCTCTTTTATAAAGCTCCTATTTCAGTTTCCTTCCCCTGTTACCGAGGCCAGGTTTAGCATCAACTGGATGTGCTCTGGTCTGAAATGGCTGGCCAGTCCACGCGGGGGCTCGCTGTGCCGCGCTCCCCTTGCCGGTCCGGCACAGCCGCAGCAGTGGCAGGACACGGTGATGGCCTTTGTACAGAGACAGCCTCAGCTCCCAGGCTGGAGCACCGGAGGTTTGTGTATAAAAGGCTTTAAGTGCACTATTAAATACAGAGACTTGCAGCTCCATCACTTTGAAAAATATATGCCTAAATTGAAAGTACAGCTAATATCCTTCCTTTCTGCTTATCCTCAAAGGCTCTGTTTGATCTGGGCCCATGCGGTCTGCGGTTTTACGCAAGGAGCTTATAAAGTTATCACTACAGAAAAGAAACCATAAAGGCCACCTTAGGTTCATTCCCTTCTGCATTTGCAGGAGCAGCTCGGACAGGTCTGCCACTTCCCAGGCTTCCCTCCTCTTACTTGCCATGGGACCAGCTCAGTTATACCTTAAATTAAAGAGGGAAAACAGAGGATGAGCAGCTCACAGAGGGTGGTCTGCGGTGCAAATAAGCCAGAGGACTTTTGAGAAGCTAAGCACGGCCCTGAATTCCCCAAATGGTTGCTAATTTATCTTTATTTCACAGCAGAAGAGAGGAAAAATCCAACAGACCCTGACTGTGAGGGAATCCAGACTCTGCAGCTGGGTCTAACGCCTCAGCCAGGGCTGCCTGGGCAGGATTCAAAGGCGGGGGGGGGGGCGG